CTCCCCCTGCTTGTGTTCCTGCTCTCGCTATCTCTCTCTCTGTCAAATAAATAAATAAAATCTTTAAAAAAAAAAAATTTTTTTTTTAAATCTAAAAAAAAAGAGAACACCACTCTTTCCTAAGGAAGGAGAAAGAGGGAGGAAGAAGGAGCAAGAAGGAAGCAGCCGCAAGATGGTACACAATTTCCCTGGCCCTTTGTTAAAACGTACCAAGAATTCCCAGATGGCAGCAAGCAAGAGCATCGAGCCTCACTGGGCCCCTCTGAGTGCCTGGCGGAGCCACAGAACAGGACGCGTCCCTGATGCCGCCCCGGGCCGCGAGGAGCCCCTCCCGGGAAGATGAGGCGCAGGTCCTCCCTGCACTGCAGGGGGCTCACAGACAGGACTGGAGCACAGTGTCAAGGTGGTGGATTACATTTTTCTCTTTGGATGAAAATGTTGCAAACTGTACAATGTTGCCAAACCAACACAATTTATGTAGCTGATTTCGGGGACTCTACTTGTTCGACACTTCTGAGAGTTGCGGTGTTTTCTTTTTTCTTGGGAAGGCTGGGGTGGCTGGTGGGTGGAGGTGGGGCCGGTGCCCTTTCTCCTCCCTCCACCCCCGCATGGCAGGCCGCAGGGCTGACCTCTGAGCAGGTGTAGCATTTTCCAGACAGGCCCAGTTGGTTGGAGCCAAGAATGTTTAAGCCCATGCATTATGTCAAATACCATTTATATCAAAATACCCCTCCTTAATCTTAGGCTAATTACCTTATGATTAACACTAGTCGTCTGACCTCGGCAAACCATGTATCTCCCCTGAACATCAGAGTTCCTCATCTGTAAAATGGAGATCATTTTATATTTCACAGGGGTGCTGTGAGGATTAAATTATATGAAACGCTTTTTAAAGAGTATTAAGGTCTAAACAGATGCCAGTTAATGTTCCCGCAGATCTGCTCAGCAGCAGCTTCATCGGGGCAGATGGGGGACCTTGGTTCAGCCGCGGCTTGACAGAAACGTTGGGGCCACCTGACTCCCAGGCTCTAGTGTATTCTTAACTATCAACTTCTGATCTTCAGTTTCTCAAGTAGCTTCCTTTCCTGGGGGGGAATCCCCTCGCCTTTCAGTTATGTTTGAGATCACAGATCAATAATCCTGGCTTATGTGCCACATTCTTGTGAGTTGGGCTGGCTTCGTAATTTTAATTGTCCCTAGATGAACCGAGAAGAATCCAGACCTTGGACCTGAGGGTCAGTAGGGGACAGGTAATCATTCTTACTCATTTTCTTAGTACATAGTGCACTTGAGTAACACTCTCATTAAAATGTGCTTAAAGGCAGATGCATTTATGACAAGAGTGGGCAACGCAACGCTCCCGATGCTGTGGGGTGGAGAACGTGGGAGTCTTCCGCAATCCTCCTGCCTGTGTGGGGGCTGTTCCTTCTGCCTAGAAGGCTCTTCGCTCAGACACGCAGGAGGGAAGTCACCTCCTCCAGGAGACCCCATCTCAGAGGGCTCTTTCCTCCGCTCCCGCCTCTCCCTGTTCACCCGGCTCAATTCTTCCTGGCACATGCCCACCTGATTCATGTCCTATGGGCTTCTTTGGAATCTCTGCCACCAAATGTGAGCTCCAGGAGAGCTGTGACTGTTTGCTGTGGTGTTTCTAGGCTTAGGATTCACAGCCTTGGGCAGCAACGGGATCCAGCTAGCACTTACAAGGTTCTTTTGTTTTCACTGTATTTATTTATTTAAAAGATTTATTTTTTAGAGAGAGATAGAGCAAGGGGTGGGGAGAGGCAGAGGGAGAGGGGGAGAGAATCCAAGCAGACTCTGCACCAAGTGTGGAGCCCAACATGGGGCTTGATCTCACAACCCTGAGGTCAAGACCTGAGCCAAAACCAAGAGTCCGGATGCTTAACCCACTGTGCCATCCAGGTGCCCCTCACTGTATTTATTTTTAAAAATATCTTCTGTTGGTGCCTCTGGATGGCTCAGTGATTTAAGTGGCTTACTTAAATTTAAGAATGTAAGTTATTTTATTTTTATTATTATTTTGTGGGGGAGGGGCAGAAGGAGAGAGAGAGAATCTTAAGCAGGCTCCACGCCCAGCTGGACTTTTAACACACTGAGCCACCCAGGTGCCCCAGGATATTTTAAGTTTTAAGGGAGAAATCCAAACTCAGAGAAAGGAAGGTGGGGAATGAAGGACTGAATGCAATTTGGGGCTCACCTCAGGGTGAAGATGCCATGTTTGAGCCTTCGTCGAGGCTACTGGCCTCCATGTCTCGGAGACTCCCCCCGCCCCCCCCCAGCATGGGATCTGACTGTGGCTATTTGCTCGGTGACTTGATCATACACTATGTTCCATTGACTACATGGGAGACAGCGTCCAATCTTGGACCGAGAAATTCCCCGAAATAATGTGAGGTGGCGGCGCTGCACCATTTTAGTGTTTTTACCTGTGAAACTCACTGCCAGCACTTCTCCAAACCAACCTGCACGCCAAATTAAGAAGCATATAAAAGAGCTTGTAACGCATCGATGCAGCCGGGCTCTGAAAATAGCAGCCCAAACCACAAACCAGAGAACAGACCTTTGTGAACAGAGTGAAAGAAGCTGTTTGTCCTGGGCTCATCTTTTAAGGCACGGATACAATTCCCCACGATTACTGAAGTAACATCTTTTTTTTTTTTTTTTTAAAGATTTTATTTATTTTTATTTGACACAGTGAGAGAGAGAGCACAAGCAGGGGGAGCGGCAGGCAGAGGCAGAGGCAGAGGGAGAAGCAGGCTTCCCACAGAGCAGGGAGCCCAATGCGGGGCTCGATCCCAGGACCTCGGGATCATGACCCGAGCCGAAGGCAGACGCTTAACGACTGAGCCACCCAGGCGCCCCAAATAAATAAAATCTTAAAAAATCAAAAAGAGGGGGGACTTCCTTAGTCACTGCTTTTGCCACCAGGCTGCTTAAGGGGTAGCAGGATTTTACTTTTGTTTGGATGTTCAGTCTCCAGCATCACTGTTGCAAGGATATCACATGGTAACAGGTTCCCCATTCTGATTGCAAACCTGGCATCTCATTGACCAGCCCATCCATTCCACTCCTGTATCAGAGCAGGAAACACCCTGGTAGGTTCTTTTCTCCTCTCACACAGACACAAGACTCACCTGACCGACAGGTCCTTCTTCCCTGGGGTGCCCTTATACATATCCCCGCGCTGACGACCAGGAGCTGGGCAGAGGCGTACTGGTACTTAGGAACGGGAAGGGCGCTGGGAGGCCTCGGGTGTTCACATTGCCTGAAAGCCGGCCTCACGCCTGGCACTGTTGCAGCATTTGCATGCCGCCCCGTGGGGCTGGTGCAGGGGGGAGCTGGTCCTGTGCC